ATCTTCTTTTACTTTTTTCCCCTCTATGTCTAATAGTTTAAAATTTAGTTCATTTGTACTTTGCTTTGGACGGTGGCGTAGGGAGTAATAAACGCTATAAGGAGCTGCAAATTTAAGGATCAATGTCTAGGGACTTCCCTGGCGGTCCAGTGGTTAAGACTCCGCGCTTCCACTGCAGGGGGTGTGAATTCGATCCCTGGCTGGGGAACTAAGATCCCATATGCCGCGTGGTACGGCCAAAAAATTTTTTTAAAAAAGTATCAAAGTCTAGCTAAGATATACCAGGAAACTCCTGCTAAAGGTGGTCCTATATAATGAATTCTCTTTTGAAAATAGAAAAACTGTCCCCAATTCATCTTCAAAATTGAGACATTTGTCACTTTTTAGAAATTGGTACCTGTAAATTAGTTCCTACTCAGTCTTGTCTTATTTAAACTATTATTTGTTTAGCATGTTTCAGGGGGCAAATATACACTTAAGCCCAACCTCTCTGTCCTATGACTAGAAATTCGATGTTAAGAGGTTGCATCGATGAAGGGATGAGGGTTAGGGCTGTTAGTTATCCAATTCCTAGAAGAAGCAAATTTTTTATTATTCTGTGTTTCAAAAGCACTTTGAAATCTATAAAATATTATTCAAGACAAAAGACCCCTCCCTATATACCAGCATTTCCCAAAATTTCTAGATATATAAGTTCAAAGAGATGGTACTAGGCTAAATTATTTAAGAAAATGGTTCCATGGCTGAGTCTGTTTGGGGAATCCATTTCTTTCCTGCTTGATTTCTCAGATCCTTTACAGTGTGCGCTGGGAGTTTTCCAAAGATTTTGTGTGTGTGTGTGTTTGTGGTATGTGTTTTTTGTGTGATTTTTTGTGTGTTTGTATTTTGGGTTTTGTGCCAGTAGGCACACTTTTCATCCATTATCTCCCCCATGGCACAAAGTAATTTGGATAGGTATATATCATATAAACTTCTGGAAGGACTCTCTGGGCTTTGAAGAATTATTGCAATATTACTGCCTCATAAAAGGTCATTAGATTTGGTCTTTATTTGATGGCAATCAGTTCTCTCTGGTATGTGGACTTTGTACACTGGTGTAAGTATTTGTTTTCAAAGTAATGTAATGGAAAGAAACAGCATTTGTTGTTTACAGAAATATTAATTCTTTATTGAGAATCAGAAATATTCTGATTTTACTGAATTCAGAGGTAGTCTTGGCCCCTGCCCCATAACACATTTTAGTCTTAGACAATTTGTGCATTTTAAGTTTTTAATTGTAGTACAAAAGAAAGTCACTGAGAAAACTTACAAAATCAGCTTATGCAACATTTATAAAAGGCTATGGAGTAGTTCATATGCTGAAGTATGATAAAATGGTTTGTGAGCAATACAGTACAATATCTGCTTATCAGTGATACAATGTAAAGTCTGTAATGAAGTTAGACCGTTTCCCCAAATTTCTACGTTAGGTGCTGTGAACTTTTTTTCACTTTAACCATCATAATTTTCTCCCCTTCCCGCCAATCTAAATCTGTCATGACATAGGCATCAACTGTATTGTCACCGTGTAGAATAAGAACCAAATTTCTCAATAAGCAACTTCCCCTGTCACAGTGAGACAATATGCTATGCTCATTTTTCTAGATTCCCTAGGAAAAGATATTTTTAATCCAGTGACAGATATTTTTCTTTCTAAAGGTAGAGCTAACCTCTCATACCATTTTAAGAAATATTACAAATGCAAATTTGCTTCTAGAACAAAAATGTTGATTTCTTAGACTTTCAGAAATATTGAGAAGAGGCTTTTTAACATTTCTGATACATCCAACAGCTCGTCTGTGATAAATTAAGCACCAAAGTCAACACTGATAGTACCTGCAGAGACTTAACGTTTCTCTAAAATACTCCCCACCTTTTAAATTCATTCATGTTAACATTTATTATAATTTGAGGAGGTACGGGTAAAAGCTGTGTTATTTCATGAACATTTCCTTAAATATTATTAAATGGTCATTCTAGCTAGCCACTGTTTCAGCTTTCAGACCAATTCTGTTTATTGGTCTCTAATAAGTTATACTGCCTTCAAAATATTTATGCCTCTTGAGTGTTAATTATCCTTCCTCCACCTGGGCAGGTACCCAAAACTGGCACCAGAGTGTGGCATCTTACACCGCTGCTACTGATAATCATAGAATCACAGTCAAGCAGAGACCTTCATTTTACAGGTAAGGAAACTGAACTGTGGTGGGCTGAATCACAGGGCTCCTGCCTCCTAATTATCGTTCTATTATACATGCTATCTTCTTTTCGCCTATCTTGAAAATCTTTTACTATGTTGGTTTCTCTATAAAAGGAATTACACCTGAACTTAGAACCCGGGGAGCATAATCAATAGCCTAGGAGGGTGGAGAACAGTAGGAAAGGTGTTGGGGATCTGGTCTCACTGTAGTCAGAATTTCATGGTCGTTTTTTCTCTTGAACACGTCACTTGATGAGTGGAGGGTGTAGCTGGGATTCTACCATACTAAATCCTTGCAGCAAACTTCCCTTTCAAGCACAGAGCTGTCGCTGCAAAATATACCTCAAACCTGCTCTGAACTAAATTCAGGTTTGGTTTATATTTGGTTTGGAAATTTTCTAAATTGTTTTGCTTGTCTCTAAATGGTTTTAAGTTTGATTCTGATAAAATTTCTGATTTTAAAAGCATTATTTCCTTCAGAAATTTACATTAAGGTTCATGTCCCTTCAGAATTGCTATCTTAGAAAAGGAAAAGTTAGAACTCAGAATGCCTGACTAAAAATTGTTTAGGACTTGATAGTAAATCAAGTTGAGTTTTGTATACTTTTATCTGTAATATTACCAAACTCATTTTCTGCAATATTATATTAATATATACTTTCAAGTATATAATAAATTACCACTTACTTATTTAAATAAAAATGATCAAGATATTTAGGTTATTACCAGATTTAAAAGAGGTCTACAAATATTGCTGATACTAACATGTATGATTTTGTGCATGTAGAATAAACTGGCATGGGAATAGCTCCTAAATGCCCATGTATCTCCCTTTCATTTGTGGGTCTCAAGCAGGTACCAAGCCCAGTACAGTTTCTGTTTCCAGACCCTATGGGACTTTCAATTTAAAATAAGAGCCAAGGCAACTCACTTTCATGAGCGATACACAGAACTCAGAAACCTGCTCGCCAGAGTTGCTGGTCTGCTGTTTGATAACCCCACCTCCCCTAATTCTTGCATATAATGTTTTAAGAGCAGCAGTTTGCTGGAGCACTTGGTTCATTCATTCAGGTCTCACCATGTGATAGGGTTTAGAATAAGTTTTTCAAACAAATTAAATAGACCCTGGTCTCAGAGACCTCTCACTCTGCCAGAGAAAATCACTCATGGAAATAGAAGAGCATAATGCAGTGTTATAAATCCCATAACAGAGGTAACCTGTTTAATTTGTGGAGCAAAGGGGCTGGGAGGGGGTGAAACTGAGTGGAATGGGACAATGGTCAGCAAAGGTTTCCCAGAGGAGTTGATACCTGAACTGTTGTTGTTGTTTTTTTTAAGGGAATCATCATTGATCTTTATATTTTACTTGTTTACTCTTTAACAGACTAGTCTTTGTTTCTGTTGGCGTTTCACCTAAGTAAGATATGTAATTTACACAGCATGTATGCCTTGGAGCCTTCACTTTCTAGAGTACATTATTATGAAGCACCTAATGAAGCATTATTTTAATATTTAATAGTCACTATCCTTTTTTTATTGTGGTATAATATACATAAAATTTACAATTTTAACCAGTTTTGAGTATACAATTCAGTGGCATTAAATACTTCACAATGTTGTACAACCATTATCACTATCTATTTCCAGAACTTTCTCATCATGACAAACAGAAACTCTGTACCCATTAAACAACCTGAACTGGGTTTTAAAGGAGGAGTGGGAAAGAAAATGTAGTGGGTCAGAATGTCATTGCAGACACAGGGGACACACAGTGTGTTATGTGTGTAGGAACTACAAGCAGTTGATTGCTGATTTTTGTTTTAAATAGACCCCTTTCCCCAGTGCTGTGTGGAGGTTGGATTTGAAGAGGAGAAAGCTGGAAGCAAGAGACCAGTAGAGCTGTTGCCGTGGTACAGGTGAGCTATGATGGCCTAAACCTGGTGGTGTTAGTAGCCATGAAGAGAGGGTAGAATCAATCAACACATACAAATAACATCAATCTTTAGTGACTGACTGGATAGATGGGATGGAGGAGGAGGAGGAGGTATCAAGGGTGACTCCCAGGTTTCTAGTTTGGTGCTATCAGTAACTGAGACAGAAGGCAGGAGGAAGAGCAGCTCTGGGGAGAGAAGTATGTTCAATTTTTCTCAACATGATGAGTTTGAGGTATCTATGGGTCACATCCAGGTAGATGTGTCCAGTGGGCAGTCAGACCTGAGTGTGAAGCTCAGGCATTTGGGGGTCATCAGCATAAGAGAAAACGGTGGCATCTGGTTGCAGAAAGGCAGGGACCCTTACCTTAATTGACCTATTATTTTGGGGCTCAGTAGACAAATTTGTCATCCCATCAGGCCCATATTTTCTTGGGCCACTGAGACGTGGTTGCCTGTTTTCTCTCATATTTCCTTAGAACGTTGGCAAAACTTAATATTCCCAGTCCTATCATCATTTTTCCCTGCACTGAGAATTATATATGGCACTATCTCTTCACATATAGTACACATGGCAAGGTCTTGTATATAGTAGGTAATCAATAAATGTTCATCTTCATTGCTTATATTCAAATGGCTCTCTGTATACAAAATTACCTCCTTTTTTTCTTGCAGGAACTTCTTTCATGCTTCTCAAGTTTAACTTCTTACAAATTTCTAAGACTACTTCAAGATTAAGTGTAAGTGAGCAGTACTTGATGGGTAGGTGTCTTCCATCATTAAGACTAAATCATTCCTTTCATTATCACCATACTTTGCTTGTTGCAGGATTTGGAAACAAACATTTCTCTTCTTAGGGAAGGACCGTGGAGTTTATCCAGTCAAGGTCCCACAGAGGGAGTTAAGAGTTGCAGTAACCTGGCGTGAGTAAGCCCTGATTCCAGGTGGTGATGGGGGTTGAGTTTCACATTCTGCTTTATTTGAACAATATGTGAAAAAGAGTCACTAAAAATAAGAACAGACTGGGCTTTGTTGCAGCTGAGTGGCCTTGCAAATCTCTGTAAAGAGGAATTATAGGACATAAAGGATCTGATTCTGGGATATGATCCAATTGCCCTGTGAATGGAAGTAAAATATCCTTTTTAAGAGCACTGAAGTTCTGGGATTTTGGGGGAATAGTCACTTCTGTGAGATGTGGATTGTGTCCAGGGACTGTAACCTGAGAGGAAACAAGAAAGTTATCCGAGTGATTTCAGATGTTTTGTGGTGCCAACAGTGAAAAACACTGATATCCACCACTAAAATGCAGCCTTTATGAAACACGTGTAACAACCTGCCAGGTCTCCCCAGGCTAGAAACAGCTTCAGTCCTGCGCGGTGAATGAGTTACCAAGTGCCTACTGATATGGACCGCAGTTGTTAATGCTGTTGCTGAGAATTACAAAGTGAAATAAAGACAGTTCCTTTATCTGAAGATGTAAGTCAGAAGCAATAGACTGATTTCTGTCCCCATCGTTTTCATGGAGTGCAAAGGTAAAGAGTTGACTGTTTCTCTTTGTCTCAAGTCTGTACTTAATATCCTGATTCTGTGTCAAGATTATTTATAAGTGGATTTTTTTTCTCAATTTATTCCATTTTCCTTGCAGCTGATCTAAGTGTATATATAAGTTATTGCTTCTTTAAAAAGCTTTGATTTTACCTGGTTTTGTCCATGAGTCTGAATCTTCAGCTAGATTTATCTTTTTGGTGGAGGAAATGATCAGGGAAATAATGACAAATACTAAACTAACTATAGACTATTGCTACTGAGAAATGCTTTTATTATATATGGTAGAGAGGGAAAAGAATAACATTTATGTAACCACTAATTGGCATGTATTTTAGCCATTCATTTCAGCTTCCAGAGTCTTTCTTACCTTCTGTTTTTGTCCTAAAGCTAGTAACTAAAGCCAACTTGTGCATAACTTTATTCTATAAATATGTGGCTTATTTTTAAAATTTTTTATTGGAATATAGTTAATTTACAAATTGTTAGTTTCAGGTGTATAGCAAAGTGAATCTGTTATACATATATCCAAGATGTGGCTTATTTATGGGATTGCATAAAAACAGTTTGTTGATAGATTCACTATAAGGAAAACCCTTTTTTTTCACAGAATGAAAATGTCACAGTAAATAACAGGAAAATAAAGGGTCTTTTTAGGCAAAGATTCATAGTGAGTTGAGGTCTTTCCAGCTCTATTCATGTCCTCGGTAGGAGGAAAGATACTCAAGAAAAGCATGAGCCCCTCACTCAAAGTGCTGAGTACTTTGGTGATAACCTATGGAGCAGGGGTTTTTAATCCTAGAGTTTTATGAACTGAAAACCATGCCCTTTATTATGTCCTAAAGATGAAACAACTACAAAGCCAGTTTTTACTACAGAATAGATGACTACCTTCTCTCAGGAGTAGCTCTATACGGAATGACTAGTATGGCTGGCATTAGACCCACTAAGCAAACTAGATGAATCTTGACATTCTTAAAGTCACATCAAAGAGGAAGAGTCATAATCTGGCCAAATAAATCAGATACTTATTCATTTAGTTCATTCACATAAACTCACTCAGCCTCAAACTAGTCCATGCGTCCTTAGAGGAAGAAAAGCCTTAGAAACATGCATCTAAATAAAATTAAAATCTGGAATTTTACTTGCATTGATTGGAAAACTCACCATCGTTTGCTTATGAGCGGGCTGCAAAATATGTATCACTTAATATAGTGGTAAACTTTGTGGATCAAATTTTATTTGTAGTGAATTCTAAGGAACTTGTGTTGCAATCAATTTTTAATAGTAGAAGTTATGGTTCACGGAACAGATGTTAAACTGGTATTCCATGAAGCTTGGAAGAACTGTGGCCACATTGTATTTTTGTTTGTGTTTTTAAATTTTTATTGGAATATAGTTGCTTTACAATGTTGTGTTAGTTTCTGCTGTACAGCAAAATGAATCAGCTCTATGTATGTATATATCCCCTCCTTTTTGGATTTCCTTCCCATTTAGGACAACACAGAGCATTGAGTAGAGTTCCCTGTGCTATACAGTAGGTTCTTATTAGTTATCTGTGTTATACATAGTAGTGTATATATGTTAATCCCAATCTCCCAGTTCATCCCACCACCCCACATTGTTTATTTATTCTTATTAATAAGGTTTGTTCCATTTTTTATCATAAAAGTTACCACCCAAAATGGGATTTGGCTTCTATTTGAAAAATTGCCAGTTGGGGAAAAAACATGATTTTCTGAGTTTCTTCCTATTATTGCCACCTCACCCACTCCCTGCTAAATGCAAGTTGGCCTTTTATTCTGTCCTGATATATCTACTTTTGGACTTTCCAGACTTATTTTAGATCCTTTCTAGGTAAGTAAGTATTGTGAGTTCTATAATATTTTAATAACAATAGTTATTAGCATTGTATACTTACCTCTATTACATAGACCCCAGGCAAGAGAAGGAGGTAATACTCTCCAAATTTGTTGGTTCTATAGGGGCAGACATGTTTTCTGTCTTGGACTTCTACAGTTACATTGGGTAATGGAGTCCCATTCTGATCAAAAATTTGACCCTTTACACCTGCAAGACAAAAAGAGAATTAAATGTTAATACCACATTTTATGGCATATGAAAAAAAATTCTTGTAATTATTTAAGAAAAATATGCCCAATATTTATTAGCTGTTTTGAGTTAATTGAGTGTTTCAGAAGGGATGGTAAACTTTAAAAAAAATTGAGATATAATAAAAATATAACATATTAGTTTCAGGTGTACAACATAATGATTTAATATATGTATTGTGTAACAGTCACCACAATATGCCCAGTTAACATATACATTTTTTTTTCTTGTGACGAAAACTTTTAAGATTTACTCTTAGCTAATTTCAAATATACGATACAGTATTTAACTATATTTACCATGCTGTACATTACATCCCCAGGACTTATTTATTTTATAACTGGAAGTTTGTACTTTTTGACTGCCTTCACCTATTTTTCCCCACCCCCTGCCTCTGGCAACTACCAATCTATTCTCTATATCATGAGTTGGTTTTTTTTTTTTAAAGATTCCACATATAAGTAACATCATAAGCTATTTGTCTTTCTCTGATTTATTGATATTTCACTTAGTATAATGCCCTCAGTGTCTGCCCATATTGTCACAAATGGCAAGATTTCTTCTTATGGCAGAATAGTATTCCATTGTATAAATATACCACATTTTCTTTATTCATCCATCCAATTAAGTTGCTTCTGTGTCTCAGCTATTATAAATAATGCTGCAGTGAACATGGTGGGTGCAGATATCTTTTCAAGTTAGTTTTCTCATTTCTTTTGGATAAATACCCAGAAGTAGAATTACTGGATCATATGGTAGTTCTATTTTTGATTTTTCTTAGAATCTCTATACTGTTTTCCATAGTGCTGCACCAATTTACATTCCCATCAACAGTGCACAAGGGTTCCCTTTTCACCACATCCTTGCCAACACTTGTTGCTTCTTGTCTTTTTTGACAATAGCCTTTCTAACAGGGGTAAGGTGATATCTCTACTTGTCTTTAACTCTTGATACTTTAATTACAGTGTGTCTTGATGTGGGTCTCTTTCAGTTCATCTTATTTGGAACTCTCCAGGCTTCCTGGATCTGGATGTCTGCTTCCTTCCCCAGGTCAGGGAACTTTTCAGCCATTTTTTCTTCAAATAAGTTTTATATCCCTTTTTCTCTCTCTCCTCCTTCTGGGACCCCTATAATGCAAATGTTTGTCTGTTTGATGTTGTCCCATAAGTTCTTTAAGCCATCTTCACTCTTTTTCATTCTTTTTCTTTTTGCTGCTCTGATTGGATGAATTCCATTGTCCTGTCTTCAGGTTCACTTATCCTTTCTTCTGCCTCATCTAGTCTGCTGTTGAACTCCTCTACTGTATTTTTCAGCTCTATGACTTTTATTTGGTACTTCCTTATATTTTCTTTCTCTTTGTTGAAATTCTCATTTTGTTCATGCATAGTTATACTGAGCTCAGTGAGTATCTTTATAACCATTATTTTGAACTCTTTATCAGGTAAATCACCTACCTCTATTTCATTAAGCTCTTTTCTGGGGTTTTATCTTGTTCTTTCATTTGGAACATATTCCTCTGTGTTGACTCTCTGTGTTGGTTTCTATGCATTATATAAAACAACCATCTCTTCCAGTCTTGAAGGAGTGGCTTTGTGTAAGAGGTGAACTTACTGTTCAACCCTGCCCCAGCTCTGGGTTTTCTCTCAAACTTTTATGATTATCCAAGCAGCTTACTTTAGTCTTAATGGCTCCAGTAGTTGAGGGTGTGCCAAGACCTGTCAGTATCCCAAAGGGGAGTATCTCAGTCAGCACAAAGGTTCAGGCAGATTGGGAGCCAAACCCACAACTTCGAAAGTATACAAATATACCTCTTCTGGGGGAAGACTGGGAGATGGGTGTTTCTGTCTACTCCCTCTGCACTGAGCCCTGGGGTGACTGACAGCCAGTTAAGAACCATTTCTTTGTTTGCTTTGTTCATCTCTTGCACTCATGAACACAAGCCATGTTGGCCAAGAGCCAGGCTATCAAGGGATGTGTTCTCTGGGCAGTAGCCAAAAAAGCCAAGGGGTACAGATGGGTACACAGGCTCCTTTCTTGGAGACACTGGTGATCTGGGGTACGGCATAGGTTGAGAGTGAAGATGGTGCCCAGTGGCCTCTGATGAATGATTGTAGTCAGCCGCTAGATGTGTATTTAATTAGAATCCTGATCCTCAGGCCACAACTATGAAGATAAACTAATAGTCCTCTTTCACAGAAAAACTGGGTTTTCAGTCTGCTGCCTCTCCACTGTGCCCTGAGTGTAGCTGGTTAAGAACTCCTTTTCTGTTTGTTACAGTTCTGTGGGATTTATGAACACAAGACGTGCTGGCCAACAGACCCAGGAAATCAAGGGGTAGCCTCTGGGTGGCAACTGCAAAAAACAGTGCACCAGACGAGTGCACAAACTCTTTTCCAGGAGATTCCAGGATCCTGGAGGTAGGTGGAGGGACAGGGCAAAGATGGCAGCCACAAGCATCCATCTTTGGAGAGTATTTCAGTTGGCTCCTAGATGTATGTTAAATTAGATGACTGCCCCTCAGACTGAAACTTTCAGACAAGCAGATACGCCTCTTTCACAGAAAGACTGGGCACTTTTCAGTCAGCTGCCTTAGTGCTGGGTCCTGGGCAGTAGCCAGTTAAGTCTTTAAGAACTGTTTCTCAGTTTGCTATAGCCTTGTGGGTCTCATGGATGTGAGCCCCATCATTTTCAAAGCTAGATGTTTCGAGAGCCTCCAGAAGGAACCAGCCCTGCCAACACCTGGACTTTAGCCCAGTGAGACTGGTTTTGAACTTCCAACCTCCAGAACTGTACATTTAAATTCACTGTTACTTGAGAGGAGACAAGATGGCGGAGTAGAAGGTGAGCTCACCACTTCTTATGGAAACACCAAAGTCACAACTAACTGCTGTACAACCATTGACCAAAAAATGCTGAAACCTACCAAAAAAGATACCCTGCATCCAAAGACAAAGAAGAAGCCACAACAAGACAGTAGGAGGGGGTGCAATCTCAATAAAATCAAATCCCATACATGCCAGGTGGGTGACCCAAAAACTGGAAACAGAAGTTCTCCCACAGGAGTGAGTTCTGAGCCCTGTGTCAGGCTCCCCAGCCTGGGAGTCTGGCAATGGGAGGAGGAGCTCCCAGAGAATCTGGCTTTGAAGGCCAGTGGGTTTTGGTCACAGGGATTCCCCAGGACTGGGGGAAACAGAAACTCTATCTTGGAGGGTGCACACAGGGTCTTGTATGCACCAGGACCCAGGGGAAAAAAGCGGTGACCTCATAATAGACTGGGCTAGACTTACCTGCTAGTATTGGAGGGTCTCCTGCAGAAGCAGGGGGTGGGGGCAGCTGTGGCTCACTGCAGGGACAAGGACACTGGTGGTGGTAGTGTGGTAGTTCTGGTCGGTACTCATTGGTATGAGCCCTCTTGGAGGCTGCCATTTTCTCACCGAGTCCTGGCCCCACCCAACAGCCTGTAGGCTCCAGTGCTGGGACACCTCAGGCCAGATAACCAACAGGGTAGGAACACAGCCCCACCCATCAGCAGACAGGCTGCTTAATGTCTTCCTGAGCACACAGCTGCCTGATAAACACACCCCCTGACATGGCCTTGCCCACCAGAGGGACAAGACTCAGCTCCACCCACCCATGGGCAGGAACCAGTCCCTCCCATCAGGAAGCCTACACAAGCCTCTTAAACAGTCTCATCCACCAGGGGGAGGTGACAGCAGAAGTAAGAAGAAATACAATCCTGCAGCCTGCAGAATGGAAACTGCAATCACAGAAAGTTAGACAAATTGAGATGGCAGAGAAATATGTTCCAGATGAAGGAACAAGATAAAACCCCAGAACAACAACTAAGTGAAGGGGAGATAGATAGGCGATCTACCTGAAAAATAATTCAGAGTAATGATAGTAAAGATGATCTGAGATCTCAGAAAAAGAATGGAGGCACAGATCGAGAAGATACAAGAAATGTTTAACAAAGACCTAGAAGAACTAAAGAACAAACAAACAGATGAACAATACAATAACTGTAATGAAAAGTACACTAGAAGGAATCAATAGCAGAGTAACAGGTAGAAGAATGGATGAATGACCTGGAAGAGAGAATGGTGGAATTCACTGCAGTGGGACAAAGAAAAACGAAAGAAAAGAAATGAGGCCAGACTAAGAGACCTCTGGGACAACACTAAATGCATGATCATTCTCATTATAGGGGTCCTAGAAGGAGAAGAGAGAGATAAAGGACCTGAGAAAATATCTGAAGAGATAACAGCTGAAAAATTCCTTAACATGGGAAAGGAAACAGTCACCCAAGTCCAGGAAGCACGGAGAGTCCCAGGCAGGATAAACCCAAGGAGGAACATACGAAGACACATAGTAATCAAATTGACAAAAAATTAAAGACAAAAAATGTTAAAAGCAACAAGGGAAAAGCAACAAGTAACATACAACGGAATTCCCATAAGGTTAGCAGCTGATTTCTCAGCAGAAACTCTGCAGGCCAGAAGGTAGTGGCACGATATATTTAATGTGATAAAAGGGAATAACCTACAACCAAGAATACCCAGCAAGGCTTTCATTCAGATTCAATGGAGAAATCAAAAGCTTTACAGACAAGCAAAAGCTAAAAGAATTCAGCACCAACAGACCAGCTTTGCAACAAATACTAAAGGAACTTCTCTATGGGCAAAAGAAAAGGCCACAACTAGAAACAAGAAAATTACAAATGGAAAAACTCACTGGTAAAGGCAAACATACAGTAAAGGTAGGGAATCATAGGCACACAAATATGGTATCAAACCCAGCAACTGTGAGAAGAAGAGAGCAAAAATGCAGGATACAGGAAATGCATTTGAAATTAAAAGACTGGCAACTTAAAACAATCTTGTTTGGGCTTCCCTGGTGGCGCAGTGGTTGAGAGTCTGCCTGCTGATGCAGGGGACACAGGTTCATGCCCCGGTCCGGGA